TTTGCGTTGTTATTACATTTTTTGCGAGTTATTACATTTTGTGGCGTAACATCAATGGTTCGACGCTTGCCGCCACGTAGACCCTTTAGTCGGCCTTACACCGAACCTATGTTAAATAGGTTCGGTGCGACGTTAGTCCGGCGCTTGCCCTGGGCCTTATTCTCTCTATTTCATTGCACACACCGAACGCATGATTTATTACTACTATACTATGTTCAATCTTTGCGTACATATTTACGGTGTTCAACGTACCTATAAAAAAAATATATATCGCTCTGGGATCCTAACGATAACCCTACATTTCATATTCCGGCTGCGTTACCAGCGTGGTTGGTCCTTGTAGTGTAGTGGTTAACACATCGGACTAGAATACCGAAGACGTGGGTTCAATTCCTGCCAAGGGCATTTGATATTTTTGTCTTATTCAATTTCATTACACACACCGAACGCATAATTTACTATTACTATACTTTTCAAAATCTAGTAAGTTTATGTTTTCAAGCTTTTTGAAATATAGTTAAGACTTTTATTCTTCGATTGCACGTTACGTCATGGCGGGCTCTCGAGGGAGCGTTGGTGCCATTAAACAAGAGATTTCTTATTAGCATCCATTGTTAACGGCACCAAAATGGCCGCCATGCTTTTGTCTTTTTTAACTCTCTTGGGAATGCTTGCAACCCATCAATAAATGAAAATACGGTTCTTGTAAAAACATAAAACTTTTGATGTGGATAATTAACCAAGCTTCGTTATTTGTGTAATAGAAGTAAAAGTAAGCTTATATATTTTGCTCACCTTCTTTTACCAGTTTTTGTGTCTACTGCATAAGCAGTAGCATACTTAATAGGCAGTAGACACTATGCCATCGAGTTTACCGGAATATACTTCATATCCTATTTAACTAGCGAAAAATATAGTTAAATGACATACGACATAAATGGCATAAAGTTCATGCCGGTGTAAGGGCTGCAAAACTTCGGATTACTTTCGGATATCACGTGGACAGCTTTCGGCGCATGGCGAGAATAGCCGATGTTATCCGAAGTCCCGCGTACTGGCTAGTAAACTTGGCTGCTCTGTCTGCGACTGCTTACGACTTTTTATCGACTGAGAAACGTTTGACCAACGTTTCAAACATGATCGATTTGGTAGGATTCTAGGGTTCAATGTTTCCTACAAGGTAATCACAGCCATTTTTGTAGTGAGGTAAATTTCACTAAACCTGATATTGCATTGGATAATCTGTAGTTATCTTTCGTTTTATAAGTAAAATTAACCAGGAATTCAAATGCTTAAAAAATTTCGGCAATGGAAAACATTGTCGAAGAATTTTCCAAGACCAAAACTAGCCCCTGGGAGGGGGGCTGGTTGTGAGTTGTGTACAAAATGCCTAAGTGGGAGAGTTTTCTTGCGCAAAGAAAACGATGTAGTGCATTTTGATTCGTTTCTGTGGAAGTTTTATATTATGGGAGACATTATCTTAATCTTGAATAAAAAAATTGAAGATCGTTTTCCGATTTTAAATTTATCTCCCAGATTCGTTTAAATTGGACTTGCGTATCGGGAGCTCCGCTTTTAGGCAGTGATTAAATATATTTATATTGATTCACACACACATAAATATATACAAGTATTCGCAGGAGTAATATTAATGAATAATAAAAAGAAAGTTGAAACTAAAATAATCATTAGAGAAAGAGCTAATTTATGGTGTGTGTGGTTGTCGAAGTAGTTAAAACTTTCGAGTCGACAAGCACCCATTGTAAGGTTAACTTTTTATGACCAAGAATATAGCTAACTATATTTACACAAGATGGAGATCTTAAGCTTTAAACTAAATTGTTTTGGACAATGAATATAGATATAAGTATAATGGGATATGTTAATAAATATTGTTTAAATTTGGTATGCAATAATACGTAAAGGATTACTGTTATTGCATTACTTTAAATTTGCGGATTAGAACTAAGTGAACTTGGTAAAACTCTTAGACTATCAATCCTTTTGGACAAGTATTAAATGCATTTTAAGATTCTTTTTAAAAAGTTTGATTGAATCTAAATTTTTAATAGAGATAGGGATTTCTTCCCATATTTTTGTTATAGAAAATTCAAATGTGAATTTCCCATAATTTGTTCTGATAGAAGGACGGACAAGGTTGTTTTTAGCTGCAAATCGTGTGTTATGATGGTGATGTTCTTTAGCTAGTTTGATTTTATCTTTGAAAACCTCTAGAATTGAATGGCTAAATTAATTATTTGATGACCAAGCATTCCTGCTTTGAATTTGATAATGTTATCAAATGTTAAAACACTCATTAATAATTCATAAGCTTATGGTCCAATTGGAGCCACCATACACGTCACGTGCTTCAAGTGATTTTATATATCTTTATATAAAGACACATGTGATCTTTATATAAAGACCACTCGAATACTATGAGGATGACTTCATCAGGGATGAAGTATGCATCCAAGTTTAGATGAAGACATAGAGCTTCATCAAGGTCATAGTCAACCCTAAAGATCATTGACTAACGTGCCTGTCTTTGCCTTGGCACGCAATATCCAACGTGTGGGAGCTTCTATTGAATCTGGTTGCGCATGCCCGTGACGTCAWATCTCTATCGAAGTATAAAAATCCATGTTCGTGACGTGTATGGTGACTCCAGTTGAACCAAAATCTTATAAATTGTTCATGAGTGTTTTAAGCAGTTCAAAAAAAACTCGTAGATCGTGTTTTATCAGGTATAAAAGCACTCAGCTACGCCTCGTGCTTTTATACCTGATAAAACACTCCTACTCGTTTTTTAAACACTAATTAAAACATCTAGTAAGTTGTAAACGGTAAGGCATGTTCACGTCTGTTGCAGTAAAATATTCTCCTGACACATTTGTTTTGAATCGTGTATAGGTTAATTAGATTGGATTTATATGTATTACCCCACGACAAAGCACCATATGCTAGGTATGGGTAAATAAGTGAATAATATATGTTGCGAAGAGTCTTAATGCTAACATAAAGTCTTAACTTATTGATAATACCAATATTTTTGGAGACTTTAATTTGAACATTTTTGATGATCCCAGTTTAAATGTTGATCGATATGAACACCTAAATATTTAATGTATTCCTTTTGTTCAAGACAAGAAATATTAATCCCTGGTATGCGTCTTCGAGGTGTCTTTATTATCATGTAATGTTTTTTTGAAATTCACTGTTCATCATTCATGACACGTTCAATTACGATTGGGTTTTTATGTGAGTAAAAGATGTTGGTGTCATCTGTGAACATCCTAAAGCTTAGGTTTTGTGATATGTTAGGAAAGTCATTAACGTATAAGAGAAATGATAATGGCCCAAGGGGGCACATCGCATTTAATTTGCCGCAGGTTTGATTTTAACGTTGCCGATTTGAGTGCATTGTGTTCTGTTAGCTATACGTAATTGACAAACCAGTCATATGGTTTGACAGTGTCGAAAACCTTGCTGAAATCTAAAAATATTCCACAAGTTATTTCTTTATTATCTATTGATTTTTTCAATTTATCAGTATTTCTAAAATTGCATGCTCGGTTGAGTGGTTCTTTCTGAATCCAAATTGGTATTCATTTAAAATATGATGCTGATCAAGAAATTTAACAAGCTGCTCATACACGATTCTTTCAAGGATTTTACTAAACATTGGTAGGGTTGCAATAAGTCTGTAATTAGATGGATCTGACTTATCTCCATTTTTAAAAATGGGCGTTATGCAAGATATTTTGAATAGATCTGGGACAATCCCTTTGTGTATTGACTCGTTAATTATTTATGTTATAGGTTTTGATAATTCTGCTTCCTAATTTAATCAAATAAATCGGTATTATATCAGATGCTGATTTACTACAATTCAGAGAATCTATTCTTTGTTTTACTTCATGTGTTGTTACCGACTTGAGAGTGAAGGTGAGAGAGCTGGAGAATTGCAAATGTATTTAGTTATATCCTCTCCAGTGTCCACAATCTTATTTGACAAGCGAGAGCCARTTTCGGAGAAGTAATTGTTTAATTGCTCTGCTATATCTTTTTGATCGGTATAGTTAATGCCATCAGATACTATTGAAGCTGGAATAACTTGAGATTTCGTTTTCCTTTTGATGATTTGACTAATAAGTTTCCACGTTAATTTGAGATTACTTTTATTAGCATCGAATTGCATATTGCATTAGCATACCCATTGTAAATGGCACCACAATGGCCGCCATGCTTTTGTCTTTTGACTCTCTTGGGAATGCTTGCAATCCATCAATAGGTAACTGTCCAATTATGTTGCTTGATTAATAGGTTATATGACTGATGGGGTCCAATTAAGTATGAATTGGTATCGAAAAAAATCATCTGACTGCCAAATTGAACTCGGCCAATAATTTTTGCGAAATTTTAGTCTTGCAAAATATGCCCCTCTCCAGCAGGCTCTACGTGCCTGCAAGCAATTTATTTGCGGCATGCGCTCGCACAGACTAGCGACGCTTGCATTGTTGTTCTTGGTCCTCCATGTTTCAACCACGATTAAACGACCACGTTTCAAATCGATTAAAGTTGTACCTTCGTTTACGTTCGCTCTATTTACTGGCGCCTTCTATTTTGCCGAGATTAATTGACCGCGGATATTAGTACCAATAGACCCCTTGCGTGTGCATCAAAGCAGCTCAGTTTGGAGGACAAAACAATTTCAATCTTCTGAGAATTGGGAACCTATCGTTATGTCCTATATCACTTTTTTAAGTCTCTAGTCGTTCTAGCACTTTTGCACTAATTGGGGACACTTTTCGCTCACACGC